GGGAAATAACTGAAAATCCCACATGTAAGATAAAATTAAACATGATTTCATATTTCTTCCATGCTGACTTTATACTGTGACCAATATAAATGATTAAAATTGCTTTATGTCTCCAGAAGAACCATCATAAAAAAAATAAAGCTGATAGTGAGGAAAACCTATGCAAGACTCTTGTCTTTGTACTGCAATATAAATGATGTAAACGTCTTATAAATATGTATATGCAAATATTTAAGCATGTTTCATTAAATTATGAAATTGAAATAACTGACTTTTATAGATTATAAAACACATTCTCACATTCAAAACACATTCCAAAGGTTTAGCAAGTTATGTGCTAGGAATATTCAAAGCAGCTGCAACTTCCCATCCCTTACCCACACTTCCTAATCTCTTAACAGAAGAACAGGACAATTATTTTCTTCTATGTGATGTTTTACCAGAAGACAGATTACTTAGAGAACAGCTTCAGCAAAAGAGACTGGTAAGAAATTACTGTTGTTTCATTTTTGAGGTAAACAGTTCCGTAACTTAGTGGGCATTTTAAAGTGAAAGCATTTTTTGCTAGACTGCAAAATTCTGATTTTTTATATTTTTTAAGCTCATATTCCTAGCTGTTGCACAAACGTACACAAACTCCTTGTTTATAGATTTTTTCCTTGGAATAAATTTACAGGTTTTATGTCAGAGTTCCACACAAGTGGAAAATACGCCCAGAGCACTGAAAAAGGCTGTGTGCGATGCACGCTTTTCTTCTTGCAAGATTCTGCAATGCATTGACACACTATCTTCTGTGTAATAATGTAGAGAAATTAGCAAAATAAAACTCAGTGTGTGATACTGTGAAAAGGGAAGGTGATACTTACTTGCAAAAGCTTCAAGCAAGTTGTTTTTTGTGCATTCAAACTCGCTTACTCAGATTTCATTAATATGCACTTGCATACCCACAAACACCACAGTGCATGAGTGGAGGAAGTCTGGCCAGTATTGTTTCTGTGAGATGCAAAGGACAAGAAATGCCAGCTGTTGAGTCCTCATGAACCCCTCTGGTTCTTCTTGCTTGGTGTCCCTGCCCTGGTACTTTGGACAGACCTCTTGTATCTTTTCAGAGTTGTCAGTTCTGAATGGGTGGTCCTTCACATTAAGGTCTTGCTGCCTTCAGCTTCCATGAGTCTTAGTCCATGTTGCTGACCACTAGGGGTTTTTGTTTGGCTTTGTTTTCTTTGGGGAACCTGGTCTAGTGGAGGGTGTCCCTGCCCATGGGCAGGGGGTTTGAAACTAGATGATCTTTAAGGTCCCTTCCAACCCAAACCATTCTAGCATTCTATGATTCTTATTTGAAATACACATCTTTAGTCTGTTTTTCCTGTTGGGCTAATTCCAAAATAAATGTTATGGGATACATAGCAGCCTTGTTGTCAATCTCCTCATTTTAGAATGCAGGATCTTGTGCTGACATATCATCTGTGCTGTGTTAGAGTGCAGGCCTTTTAGTCTTGACATAAATATGTTCCTTAGTTTACTGCTGACAGCTATGTCCTGGGAATTGTCGATATAGGCCTTTTAACCCTTTGTTATGCTGTTTCTTGTGGTATCTTACGTTGTTGGTAAGGTACCAACTTTATGTTTCTATTACAAGTCTGTACATACGCAGCATGCAACTAAAGACATCTTAAATTGTAAGCATTCCAAATAAAGGAGATGCTTACAAAAAACAAATTCTAGTCCCCAGGAAAATTGGGATTGGCAGGCAAAATCCATTTGGTTCAACTACCCTGTGAATGCTGTTACAGTTTGCTGGCTGAAGTAATATTCTGCAGCTCGAGGCACATGACTAACAAGTCCCCAGAACCTGTGGAGTACGTACGAGTCTTACACAGCTCTCCATAGAATCCCAGCTCCTGCAAAGAAGAATTGTGGTAGTTCTGTCACTGAGGATTTCCCATGGAGTTGGATTTTCCTCAGCTAAAATCTTCGTTCCTGTGTAGTTCCATTGGATTGTCATGGACTGAGAAGAAAGCAGCTGATGCTTTCATGCCTAGCATGCTTCTCTTACAATTTGTCGTATGGAAAGCCATCCTGGATCAGTAAAAAGGTTTGTCTGGATCAGTATCTTATACTTGTCAGTAGCAAAGTGTATGTGGTATTTGTCCTCTTCTGATCTGGTGTTGATTCTTTCTCACAATATTCTCCTAATCTCCAGCAATTGGCAGCTCAAGAATTTCTTGATTCAACAACATCGTATCTGTGTTTATTAACACAATAGATTTTTCATTCATGAACCTCCAACTCTGAACCCACACAGCCTTCCAGTATCCACAGGTTCCTGGAGCAGTGCGTTGCACAGCTTAACTACACATTGGGAGAGAACCGTCTATTTGGCCCTTTTGAACCTGTCACCTCACGCCTGGCTGGGTTTTGTATTAGAAGAGGTGATGAACAATTTGTCCTTTATCTTATCCAAACCATTCATGATTTTTCTCCTGATTTACCTACCTTACATTATGTCTTCCATTAGTCATGCACCCTCATTGCAAAGGCGGCCAACAGCATCCTTGGCCGCATTAGGAAGAGTGTTGCCAGCAGGTCAAGGGAGGCAATCCTTCCCCTCTACTCAGCACTAGTGAGACCATACCTGGAGTGCTAGGTCAAGTTGCGGGGCTCCCCAGTACAAGAAAGATACGGACTTACTTGAGCAAGTCCAGTGCAGGGTCACAAAGATGATTAAGGGATTGCAGCATCCTTCATACAAGGAGAGGCTGAGAGAGCTTGGGCTGTTAAGCCTGGAAGACAAGGCTTAGGGGGGATCATATCAATGTGTGTAAATACTTGATGGGAATGAAGAACAGGGAGTCAGATTCTTCTCAGTAGTGCCACCAACAGGACAAGAGGCAATGGGCATGAATTAAAAATCAGAAGATTCCCTCTGAAAACAAAAAAAACCCCACTTTTTTACTGTGAGGGTGGCCAAATACTAGCAGAAGTTGCCCAGAGAGGTTGTAGAGTCTTCATCTGTGGAAATTTTCAAAATGAAACTAGACACAGTCCTGGGTAACCAGCTGTAGGTGACCCTGCTTGGGCATGGAGGTTGGATTAATTGCTCTCAAAAGGTCCTTTGCAACCTCAGTGATTCAGTGATTTGAGGTTGAGGGTGCTGTCTATTTGGTGGTTCTTCACTCTGCATTATTGTTGTACTTCCTGCACCTTTTCCAGTTTCCTGTAGTTCCTTTGAGGTTATGAAGAAATCTTGAATATTGCATGTGGTCATGCAGTGTCATAATGATATTTGTTTCTCTACCATGTATCACGTTGTTTGTGGCTCTGAGGAAGGAAAGAGGGTTGTGATTGAGCATGCAGCTAACTGACTATTGCAATAGTACCTCCTGGCTGCTACACATTGGACTGTGCCTTATCTTTATTTAAAAGGCATTTGTTTCTTGGTTTGTGGTGGTTTGTGCTATGCAGTGCTATTCCACCTAGGCCTTCTCTCCACTGCCAGTGTCAAGGGAGTACGGAGTCTGTTGGTAGGTGAGCCGCCTCATCTCCTCTGTAAATAGATGTTTCCTCAAATTCAGAAGAGTGCAGGATTTAGCCCAGCGCTAGTGCTGGGTTTGTTTACAGAGTAATTAAGTTAGAAAAGAAGGAGGTGTGCATTCTTATTTTGGTGTGAAATAGCCTTTGCTATTAACACTCTTTTAAATATCAATATTGTATCTTCAGTTTTTACAGAAGGATTCTGTGAAATCAAGCTGCAGCTACCATTGAGGCTGATGGAGTCACCGCTTTCGTTACAGCAATAAAGTCTGTTTAGTTTTTCATTTCCTTTTGCTGCAATCTGAGTGTTGACTTGCAAGTTAAATAGTTATTTTGCTTTGCAAAGTCTTTTACCTCCAGACAAGTCCAGCAATTAAGAGCGAGCTGGCAAGTGGGCTCATGGGAGTTGCGCAGAATTAAAGACCAGAACTATACAACTTTGGGTGATTTTTCTGCAGCCTTTGTATCCTAACTGCTGTCTCCTACAGCAAGCCCAAACAAGGACAAATGTTGTCTTTAAAATGTGCTAGCTGAAGCATTTCATTTTGCAGTTTTGAAACTCCAGTTTAGGACTATTTTGGGCTGTATTGCAGCAGGGGAGCTAGCCAAGGTGGATGTCATGCAGAGACATTATGGTGACTGTGATGTATTGAGGGAGGCCAAGGAATGAGCCTGAACTAAGTTAGAGAGCACAGCTTGCTGAAATAGCTGACAAGGGTATGTAATACAAAACAGATACGGTCTTTTGGAAGAACACAGTCTTGACAAAGAACTTGTAGTTGTGAAGCAGTGGATCCAGGCAGGGAAGGCCTAGCGGCAAAACTCGAGATGCTGGGAGAGGCAGTATCAGCATGAGCCACTTGGGCTTATCTTTAAGATTATTCTAAAAAAGGTAAAAACCTCAAACCTGTTTTTTGAACACACTTCCTACCACAGCATCAACCTTGTCTTGCTGTCATGTTTACAGCTATTCTCCTGCCATGTGACTGGTAGTTTTAGGTGAAGAGGCTACTACTGTTCCTCCCAGTAGATAGACCCTGAAGAGGAGTCTTCACCAAAATGGGAAAAGGGACACAGGGATGTTTAGAGTACTCAGCTGTACTTGTTTCCCAGGATGAGCTGTTTGTATGATGCCCAGTTTGTCACAGGCTTAAGCTGGGACAAGGTTCAAGAAGTTGAAGGTGTGCACTGGAAGGGATCAAGATCCTAGCCTAATTTAACATATTGCAACATCTGAAGTGCTTACAGTCTAGCTTATAATATTAGCATGCTAATACCTCTATCTGAAATTCTATAGGTCCTTCTTATATTTAATTGCTTTTCTCAAGCACTCTGCAACCTTGCCCATTCTCCATGGGCTTTTGAAGACTTGTCACACTAATGGTCAGAGATCATTTTATCTAATTCCGTAATGATTCTTGGGTAAATTCTGCCAGATTTAAATACGTATAACTTCCAGCTTTTAACCCTTTCTTACCTTTTTCTTGTCTCAGTTCTTTGTTTCTTTTGTTTTAAATGCATTTCATTAATGATTTTGACATAATTAACCTTTCCTGCAAATACTAAAGCCCTGAAGATTGCAGGCATTCCTCTTTTGTCTGTGTTTGTTCTCTTCCTACATGAAGTAAATGCATCTGGTTTTCTTTGCTGTTTATTTCTAATATATTTGAGGGCAGGGGGCGGTTGTTTTTTGCTATTCCCTTTTACTGTGTTAGCCCGTCTCCATCTTCTTTGGTTGTCTTAGTCCAAAAACACTTCACCTGTCTCGCTTCAGCTTGGCAGCCTGGGGTACATGTCTACTGTAATTTAAACCCTTTTTCTTTTCATACAGCTTCACACAGTAACTTAGTTTTCATCATATCATGAAACTCTTTCTCCATTTTTTAGTTGACTCAGCTTCCTGAACAAGCTATAAGACTGTCTTCTACATCAGTGTTAAAGTACCCTTCA